CACACAAACACACAAAAGATCATTTATGAGGCAAAGAGAAGCAATAAGGCAAACACACACACACACACCCACAAAAGCACAAATGTGAAATAAATGATCGTTTATGAGGCAGACAGACGCAATGAGAGCAGCCTAGCGTGATAATTAATTGTGTTGCTCCGTGTGCGCGCGCGCACGAGTGTCTGTGCAAGTCCACGTTTGTGAGAGCAATTCCTGCTGATGTGGATTTATGTGGATGTGGAGCTTACGCAGAGCTAAATGATTTTAATTATCAGAAGGCTTCAATTGAGCAATCACAAGCTGTGGTGTGTTTCGTGGTAAACAATCCTCAGACACTACACAGCGGCGCGTGTGTTTTGACGGCGCTCTCGTGCGCGCAGGACAAAGGCCTTTATGAACCCATTACGTCATTAGCTTGGATATCTCGACACATTTGCTTTATTATGAAAAGCAGCAAATATACAGCCTTAAATATCAGCGACGACACTTTAAAAAGGAAATATAGTACTAAATTTCTTAAATAAATTATTGGTTTAAGAAAAGATATCCGTAAATGTTGACATTTAATAGGTTAAAAGTGACCATACTTGCAGACAAACTAATGTCAGACATTAAATTAGCACTGCATTTAGTGTTAGTTAGCATGTTAGCTTCAGCTAATTAGCCAAAAAGGGGGCTATTGCTAAGTCTATTGGGAAGGAAGTCAAGTCAAATTATGAAAAGCAGCAAATATACAGCCTTAAATATCAGCAACGACACTTTAAAAATGAAATATGGTCCTAAGTTTTTTAAATGAATGATTGGTTTACGAAAAGATATCCAAAAATGTTGACATTAAATAGGTTAAAAGTGACCGTACTTGCAGACTAATTCATGTCAGACATTAAATTAGCCCTGCATTTACTGTTAGTTAGCATCCTAGCTCCAGCTAGTTAGCCGAAAAGGTGGCTATCGCCAAGTCTATTGGAAAGGAAGTCAAGTCAAATTTGAAATGACAGTTAATGGTTCTGAAATCGAAGTTAAGGGACCGTCGTGGTCATATGTGCAAATATTTGTGCCATATCTTCTGACGTACGATTAACTCACACTCAGGCCATCAATAAGAACAAATTCGTTAGCGGTCAGAAGGGTCAAGACGAGTCTAGCAAGAGTTTTTTTGGGGAAATCGTAAGAGTTAAAATAAGTGTATTAAATCAACTTCAACTGGCCAAGGACTGCTATTAGTAGGCTTAGTTATGGTCCATGAGCAAAGAATAGGTGGTAAAATTGTGGAGATTTTCTTCTTTTTGGGGTCACGCTTATCCTGCTCATTCTAGAGAAATTACCATTCTGTGCATTTAACTTTCAGATCAGCTTTTGCTGCCACCTCCCCAGCATTCATCCATTTAGCCAAACTATGTTTGACTAAATAACTGTCGTCATTAATTCTGCTCTGTGATGATTTCTGAGGGTCTTTGCTGCCAGTCTTCTTGCTTTATGCATTCCATGTTAGCACATGGGGTGGGGGCAAATAGGTCCCAAAGCACATCCACCCATCTGTATTATGGATATGATTAATATTACAATGATCAGTGGCTCCGAACTCTTTGTTTATTATGACATAATTTAGTGGAAGGAGGCTGTGTGATGCTAGAGGTTATATTATAATGTTGCTGTGTTGATGTGCCCCAAAGGCAACCAGCACAAATGGAGTTGATACATCTCTGTGCTGAACTTATGTCCCATATTTGAAAGCTCTGCTTGTACTGCTTGGATATGGAAATTCTGGAACAAGTCATTTTCCCTCCCGCCACCTATCGGGTTGCTAGTGGAGGGCCTGACCGATTTGGTTATTCTATCAGGGGAGTTCATTTGAAGTTCAAGGATTTCAAGCTTCTGCGCTGGGTGGGAGCCTTTGGGGACTGAAGAAGTGCATTGGCACAGGGAGGAGAAGAAAAAAAAAAAAGTCAAAGCTCCCAGACAAACAACCTACCAGGTCAAATGTCATTGAGTCCTTGTTCAGCGTCTCCACGTCGGGCAGCTGAGCTTTAACCTGGGTCTTGATGTAGCACTTCTCCCCCCCCGAAAACCGGATTCCTGTGATTCCCTGGAAAATACGGAAAGCAAAGGCACTGGGAAAAAAAAGATAAAAGCTTAAAAATTCTAACTTATATAAAGCAACTATGATTAAAGGTCACAATTTTCATTCTTAAAGGGATAAAGCTGCTGCTTCACTTGTCTGATTGGCCTGATTAGGGCGCTTTAATTAAAGGTCAAAAAACCAGCCGTGTGAGTGATGAAAACTAGAGGGACAATGCATCTTGACACTGATTATTCCTGAGGAGAAAGCATGTCATCTTGTTCTTAATTTCTCCGCTGTGGTAATGAGCCAATCTCCCCTCGAGGGCTTTTAATCTTTCAACCAATCTGATTGACTCTCCTGACACCCGGAACAACCCCGGCGATATTTTTTTCAATCGCGCTCGATCGAAAACTCACGATCTGGAAGTCGTGCACCTCCACCGCCTGCTCGGCCCCGCTGCCGGTGCTGAACGTCTCCAGGTTATTGACCGCGTCGATCTCCATGGAGCCCTCCTCCACTTTGCCGTTGATGCTCATGCTGTAGTGCACGTTGTAGACCTGCGAGACGCACGTACACACAACATTTCAGACTGGCATGTAAGGTATGAGACTCACCCCCCACCCACCAACTCCCGCCGACTCTCAGTGTTAACCTCTGTCCTGTAATCTTAGTTTTTTGCTTTTTCTCATTTTTCTTACAGAAACAGGCGCATATTCAAACTTGGTCAGTGGGACACCGTCCTTCCACCCCTCTGCAGAGGCCTCCGCTCTATTTCTTTAGTAAAAAACACTAGAAAAAGGGGCATTTTGCCGCAGGTCTTTTGCACCTCCTGCCCCCGGAGCGTCGGCCGGACCACTGGGGCCCCTCCCTGCCCCTTTCCACCGGCCTCCACCCCTGCTGGACTCCTCTTAACACGCCACACACAGCACAACGCCTCCATTCACAAAGCTATGCCTCACACTGTACCACCGGGGGGGGGGGAGAAAAGGGCTTTACATGTTACTATTTACCTCCATTGCAAAGAGCAAAAAAACAAAATTTTCTGCTGAAAGCTCTCCATTCAGTGTCTGTTGAATCATTTTTAGTAAAAGCAATTCATTTAATGATACTTAATTCATCCAAATAGGGAAATTTTAGTTTTGCAATGTAACTAAATCCTAGTGATGAGGCATTAGGAGCTGTCCCTGCGTAGGGGCTATTTCTTTTGGCAGACGTGACCCCAAGTTGCGTTGTGTGTTCCAGTCCAACTGAGGAAGCCTCCGGCCAGCCACACTTCACCGTTGAGTCGCTGTGTCATATGGAGGGTGTGCAGCGTCGTACATTATGCTGATCGACTTGTGCCACATTCCTCTTTGCATAATCAGCTCCGGGGGCTCCGGAGCAGCCCCCCAGCACAGAGCCAGCCTTCTCTATCAGTTTTGCTCACTTTCTGTGAGTCACCGGCCCTGATGCTGTTGCCCCCGACAGATGGCTGCACGGCCCATTGTGAGAGACGTTGTTGTTCTGTGTCACTTATTTTTGAAGAAGAGCGTGCGAAAATGCCCAAAAAAATCAAAGGCGTCAGGCTTTACGCATTACTTTTGACAATGGAAATCCGACAGGATCTGATCCAAATCTTCTTTTCTCTTCACCCCCCTCTGCTAATAAAAAGAATGGCTCCTTCACTTTGAACCTAAGAAACTCTATGAGCTCTATGTCGTTTTAAAAACGCACACAAACTTCTCATTTTGGGAAATGGAAAAATTGGCTGCCCTTTCCCTTTCACAACCCCCACTCCCTGCAGACTGTTTTTCAAAGTTGGACCCCCACCATCAACCCAACCCCCACCGTTTGGTAAAAAAAAACCTTTCCCTACAAAATTATATAGGAAGAAACAGTCAGATGTCACACTTACGTGTCTGTCGCTGTTGTTCCAGAAGTAAAAAGCTCCGGCGGCCCCGAGCAGCAGCAGGAGCGCGCCGGCCACGAGCACCGCGAGCCCGGCCTTCAGGAGGCGGCTGGAGGCGGCGGGCTTCACCGCCACCGTGGAGTAAGCCTACGCACACACACACACACACACACACACACCAAAAAAGCCCCGTGAATGCGTCATTTTAATGGCTTCCAAACAGTCCACTTTTTACGCAGACATGTCCAGCTTTTGAAGGGGTCAACCCAGCGTTTGTCAGTTGGCCCCTGAATGACCCAAACGGGTGCACGGTAACTGATGGGTGGGGGGGGGTGGACTCACCGGAGGCATGAACTGGTGCAGGTCCTCTGGTCCCGCGGACGCGATCGGTACTTTCTCTGAGCTCCCAGCCATGACTGCGGACACACGGCGCAACACCTGACGGAAGCCCACTCCACTGACCCCCCGCACCCTCCCCTCTCCTCTCTCTCCCTCTCAGACTCAGGGGAGGGGGAGGTAAGGGAAAGCCTCTCCTCCCTCCCTCCAGTCCATTCCTCTTCCTCTCTCAAGTTGCGTTTTTTTTTTTTTTTTGCAACGTTCCTAACTTGAAATAAAAGGGTAAAGTTGAACTTCCAGCTGATCGCCAACCTACACGCGCAGCTGGCACTAATGCGATTCTTCAAGTTTTATGCTTTCTTTTTAAGAAATCTGTAATGATTTTACCCCCCTTTGAAGATCTTAGGCGGCTCATGTAACTTACATGAGTCTGAGCCTTCTCTGATCCTCGGAATTTCACATCATTAGGCTTTATGACAACCTTAGAGGGCAGTCACCCACCAATTCAGCAATTAAGATGATTTCGAAGGATGGATGAGCTTTTTCTCTTCACCCCACCTTTCCACAACCCTCCATCTTTGTTCTCTCTTTTAGGGTTAAAGGTTTTGTTTTTCTTCTTTTCTCTTCCAGACGGATGATATGAACGTATGGCAGTGCGCCAAAACCCATCCGCCAGTTGGGCAGACTCTGACCCCTATGGCTGCCTCCTGGCTTCTTCTTCTTTGCCGTCCAAAGCTGCGCTGTGTTTTTAAATGCCTTGAATCCAGACTGGCATGAATGATAATGATGGGATTACGTAAAGGGCGCACGGTGAGCAATTTGGCAGATAGACAAAAAAAAAAAAAAAATACTGAGAGAAAAACACATACACTTGTGTTTTCCTGCCCATGAATACACATTTGACCAAAAAAAGAAAGCTAAATTTAAGCGTATTTGGATGCAGATGTGAGCAGTCAGACGAAAAAAAGTGAGTGCGTCTTTACGCAGTGCCCGTAATTTTACTTTATTTCATGCATATTCATTAGTTATTATTTATATATATGAATACAATGTCGTCTATGATATATAAAATGTTATGGACGTCTCCTAGCTTGCTGATTTTAACCTCGTTTGTCGTTTTTTGTGTTAGCTGAAGGAGTGATTTACTCCAAAACCTTGGCGTCTGTTTTTTGGCATCCCACCAGCGAAATTCACAGAAGGGGGAGAGAAAAAAAAACCGCGCTGACCTTCCTCACCGGGCTGCAAGGACGCAGGTCGGTGCTGCATTAACAGCGACGCCTGTTGGATACTGAGACATGGCGTCAAGCCCATGCACTCTCAGTATTGTGTTCCACACAAACACCACACGCTCACGTTCACAAGAGTATTTCAAAGTTTATTTTCCTTCCTCCAGAACACCGTGATGATAGAAATAGAGGGAAAAAAAAGACATCTGCACAGTGAATTATTGCATTCAAACAAAGTCTTTGTTGTCAACTTGGTACATTTTTGAGTCTCAGACCTCCAAAACTCCACACTCTCTTGGGGCATTTAAATAGTAAGCATGCTTAAGGGTCAAGTTACATATATGTACACATCTTAGCTTAATTATCTCTTTTATAAAAAATAGATCTCTTTATGTACAAATCTCTCATATGATACACTTTGCGTCCAACGAACCTCTTTAAAGTGATAGTACAGACTCCCAATGTGGCTTTTACATTGAAAAAAAAAACACACAGATATCAGGGAAAACATACATGTGCACACTCCCCACAACAATTAGCATCGAGTGGTCTCCGACTGTCGTTAAAACTTAAGTTAAAACTCTTATTAGACTGTACATTTCTTTGAGACTGGGTGTGCGTGTTTAGGCGTCGTTGTTGGGGCAGTGCGTGGGGGTGGGGGTGTACACGGGGATGCTGATGTCGCTGATCTCCTGCACCCGGACGGGCCTGGGCGGGGTGACCAGCACGTAGTCGTACTCGCGGTCCAGCACCTTCTCGTAGACGCTCTGCAGGCCCGTGGTTTTGGGGATGTGGGCCTGGTAGTAGTTGTCCCGGCGGTGGGGGTCCCGGGGCAGCGAGGCCGTTTTGGGCAGGCTGCTGAAGGACGAGATGGTGGGGGCCGGGGAGGGGGCGGCGGCGGCCCGGACCGCCGAGGGGCTCCAGCAGCGGTCAGAGTGGCCCAGGACCTTACACTCACTGGTGCACGCCCACAGAGCTGCAGAGGGGGAGACACAGTGGTCAGATCTGGCTCTAAACCCCATCTCATGGCCACATAAGGCTGTTTTTTTCATTTCCCCCCCTCTTTTCTCTTACCGTTCTGACCCCCCATGGGTGGGACCAGGGCTGCGTCTTTCTTCAGGCCCGTGTCCCCGCTGACGTCACTGTCGCTGTCGTTGAAGTCGCTGTCCCCTTTGCCGCTGTCTTTGCCGCTGAAGGCCGGGTCCCGGGCCGAGATGGTGGTGTAGGAGTTCCCCTTCCAGATGGTGATGGGCCTCACGGCCTCCTTGCTGTTCCCGTAGCCGGGCAGAGTTGAATATCCCTGCGAGGGGGGGGGGGCAGAAGAGAGAAAACAGGTTAATGTCTGCCTCACAAACACACCACTGCTCGTTATGGGTCCCCACTGGGTTGTGTGTGTGTGTGTGTGTGTGTGTGTGTGTGTCTGTCCCAGGGGGGGGGGTCTCTCACCTCGTGCTTGGTCCCCCGGAGCTTGCTGTTGTTGTCGGACTCGTACACGCACGGCACCTCGCTGCCGTCCTCCGAGGCCGAGCACAGGTCGCTGCCCCCCCCCCGGGTGCGCCGGGGTGAACCCCCCGGGCTGGCCGCTGCTGTACGAGTGTCCGTCGAAGGCCTCCCCCGTACCGGCCCCGTGCAGGGGCAGCAGCGGGTTGTCCGCCACGTGACCCCTCCCCCGCTCCAGCGTGCCCTTCTCCCCGTACGAGTCGCTGTCCTCCGCGCTCTTGTCGCGCTTGTGCCGGTTGCAGGTGGTGGCGATGAGGATGATGGCGAGCAGCAGGAGGGTGCAGCTGCCCGCGAGCACGACGATGATCACCACGGACAGGTCCCAGTGCGCGCGCGCCTCGTCCCCGCCGCCCGGCTGGTACACGGTCCGGTCGCTGTTCGGCGGGGAGCCCGCGACGACGAGGAAGTGCAGCGTGGCCGTGGAGGTGCGCGCGGGCCGGCCGTTGTCGCTCACGGTCACAGTCACGCTCAGCGTCTCGTCCACGTCGTGGCTCAGCGGCTGGCTGAGGTAGATCTCGCCCGTGGCTTTGTTGACCGAGAACCGCGAGGGCTCGCCGGCGGCCAGCCCGTAGGACAGCTCCGCGTTCACGCCCTCGTCCGCGTCGCGCGCCTCCACGCGCGCGACCACGTAGCCGGCCGGCGCGCCCCGGGGCAGCGGCACCTCGGCCGAGCCGTTGTTGAGGGCCGGCTGCGTGATGGCCGGCGCGTTGTCGTTCTGGTCCACCACGCGCACGTGCACGGTGGCGGCGCCGGTCAGCGGCGGGGAGCCGCCGTCGCTGGCGGAGATGCGGAGCTCCAGCTGCTTCATCACCTCGTAGTTGAAGCTGCGCAGCGCGTAAAGGGAGCCGCTGGCCGGGTCCAGGGACACGAAGGTGGAGATCGGGGAGCCCATCAAGTAGGTGTCCGCCAGCTTGTAGCTGACCTTCCCGTTGGACCCCAGGTCCGCGTCCCGCGCCACCACCGTGGTGATGTAGGCGCCCGGCGCGTTGTTCTCCACCACGGCCACCTCGTACACGGGCTTGCTGAACACCGGGGCGTTGTCGTTCTCGTCGGTCAGCCGGATGGTGTACTGCGTGATGGTCCGGAACGGGGGCGAGCCCAGGTCCTCGGCCACCACCGTCAGGTTGTACTCGGGGATCTTCTCGCGGTCCAGCGGGCTCGTGCTGACGATCATGAAGCTGTCCTCGTACGCCTGCTGCAGCCGGAAGTGGTCGTGCCCGTAGAGCGTGCAGTGCACCTGCCCGTTGGCGCCCGAGTCTCTGTCCGAGGTGCTGACCAGAGCCACGAAGCTCTCCCTGGCCGCCGCCTCCGTGATGTAGGCGATCCCGGCCGTGATGGACGTCATGGGGGTGATGGAGATCTCCGGCGCGTTGTCGTTCACGTCCTGCACCTGCACCACGATCTTGCAGATGGCCGGGCTCGGGTTCGGACCCAGGTCGGTGGCCTGGACGTCAAACTCATACGTGTTCTTGCTTTCGAAGTCGACCGGGCTCTCCAGGGTCAGTCTCCCGCTCTTCCTGTCCACTCGGAAGAGCTGGCGGATTTCGGGGGGCACCTGGTTCCCGAACCCGTAGACCACCTCGCCGTTCAGCCCCTCGTCCGGGTCCTCGGCGTTCAGGTCCAGCAGCAGGGAGCCCACCGGCGCGTCCTCGGGCAGGTCCACGGAGAAGCTGTTCCTGTCGAACACCGGGCTGTTGTCGTTGTAGTCTCTGACTTTGACGTTTACGCGCGTGGTCCCGCTCCGGGACGGGTTCCCGCCGTCCATGGCGACCAGCTCCAGCGCGTAGGAGGCTTGCGTCTCGCGGTCCAGCTCCTTCATGAGGACCAGCTCCGCATATTTAACCCCGTCGGCCCTGCTGAGCACGTCGATGGAGAAGTGGCTGTTGACGGAGATCTGGTAGCTCTGGATGTAGTTGGCCCCGACGTCCTCGTCCACGGCGAAGTCCAGCGGGATGCGCGCGCCCACCGCCGTGTTCTCGGAGATCTCCAGGCTCGACTCTCTCCGGGGGAACTCGGGGGAGTTGTCGTTGATGTCCCTGACCTCCACCTCGACGTGGATGAGCTTGAACTGCTCCTTGGAGAAGCTGACCACGTCGAAGGCGATGAGGCAGTGCAGGGTGTGTTTGCAGATGCGCTCCCGGTCGATCCTCTCCCCGATGCTCAGCTGCCCGTCGCTCTCCCTCAGACGGACGAACGACGAGTTGAACTGTTTCATCATCCTGAAATTGTTCCTGGACACTCCCGGGGAAAAGGGAGAGGAGGACACGTCCTTGGCCAAGTTTCCGATCACCGTGCCCGGCGCGTCCTCCTCGAAAGTCTGATACTTCACCGTCTTTCCGCGCGTGTCGGCGGCCAAGCCCGCCAGAGCCACGCACACGAGCGCGAGCAGCCCGCTCCAGCCCATGCCTCCCGGTTTTTTTGGGGCTGTCCGTGTTTGGCAAATTCGGGAAAAACTGTCCTCACACTCCAGGAGAGTTTTGAACAAAACGCACTTGCAACTAGAAAAAGAGCTGTTGTTATCCTCTCTCCAGGGAGGGGGGAGGTTGTTTTATTACCAAGCGCGCGCTGAATATTCCATATGCCTGTCTATGCGCACTCTGGATGCGCCCCGTTCCGCGTCTGCTGGAGGTGTGTGTTCCTCTCTCAGCGCAAGCGGGCTGCAGTGTCTGCGGGAGGGTTTATACGGCGGGGGCATGCAAATGAGCCGCGCAGTGGCCAATCCGGGCGTCGAGACGAGAAGGGGGGGGGACTGGGACGAAAGGGGGTCTTCTCCGAGACCTCTAAACCCCTGTTTAGAGATTCCTGGACTGTTCGGAGCAACTTGGCACGCGATATGTATGGGGCTAAAACGCAGGGGGGGCTAGTTCCCGTCGCTGGTTCGCGCTCCTCGGACCGTCAGACGAGCCCGCGCGCCGACGCACGAGGGAGAAGAGCGCGCGCGGGGATGCGCAGTGTCCCTGAGCTAGAGGACAAAGCGTCTGGATGGGACGGTCTGCCTCACTTCTTTAGAGCCCTTTAACCGAAGACAGATTTATGCTTAACACTTTGCGGTTGCGCACCCACTCAGGCTGAACTCAGCCAGTGACCTCTGATCCGAGAGAGAGAGAGGGGAAAAAATAACTGGTTTAAAAACACGTTTTTTCCCTTTTTTCTCCATTCTCAGTCGGACGGATGCGTCTCCTAACAGCCGATTTTTACTTCTGACAGCCTCATAATGACGAGGCAGCTCAGACCAGCCACAGAATGAGCTGTAACTGCCGGTAAAAGCCTCACGTTTAGCGCTCATTATTATCCACATGAATACATTCCACGAGCCCGCTCTCCGTTCGTCCCCCCGGTGCGCCGGAATCCGCTAATTGTATGCCCAAAAGATCATATCTGCGGCAATAAAAGGGCCGACATCCACTTTAACATTGATTTTATTCTAATTCACTGTCAGCTCAGATCGGCTCACGAGATGTCTCGTGCGTGCGCGCAGAGAGAGAGAAAGGGAGAGATATAGAGGGACAGACAGAGAAGGGTTTTTTAATTAAAGCCAGTGTAACGGCCCCCTCTGCCATGCGGCTCTCTGTGGCCTCTGCTGCCAGAACAGAGGCGCAGGTGAAGATGACACACACACACACACACACGCACACACACACGCAGGCAGCCTTTACGCGTTACAAATGGGATTTGGCTGTAAACGCAGGAGGGATTTATCAGGATTTCAATAGTGAGATTATATCAAAGGCCCATGAAGCCCTCGTTAGCAGCAGAGGGATAATGGCGTGGCAGGGTCTCTCTCTCTCTCTCCAGCCGTCCCGCTGGCATTGTGGGCCCCCGAGTCTGTCTGTGGGGGCCCCTAACCCCCTCTGTCTCCACGCAGCCCCTCAGCCTAACAGCAGCATAATGAGGCAAAGCCACATGTAGCCCTTTGTACAACCTCTCCAACCCCCCCCCCCCCTTCCTATATCCAGACCTGAAGCCCCTGCTCCAGCTCCTTTCATTACATGGAGATGGGAGACGAATTGGCCCCGACATCAGGGTCCCTCCTATTAAAATACATTTAGGGAGAAACAGGGGCCCTGTCACGGGTATTTAAGAGATTTTCTCATTCTTCCCATTGGTCTCATTCTCTCTCATTCACCCACCCCCTTCACGCACACCCCCGTCTCTTTTTATGGGCAACACTTGCCATGCAGCGGAGGCTAATATCAATTGGCATGTTCCATAAAGACCCCATCTGCCACAGAAAGTCAAATAGAAGACACCTGAATGCAACACACGGAGCAGCCATAGTCAAAGAGCTGCAGCAGACTTTATTCTATACTGTCAACAGTAACTATTGAATAGACAGTTTAAATAAAGAGATGAATTCATGAATTGATAAGAAACCTTCTCCCCACAGCAAGAAGTGCAGCTCAAAACTCCTCAGCCAGTTCTTGTTTATTCAATGAAAACACAGTCTAAACAGCAAGCTAAGATTTTAAAATGAGCATCTTTATTAGCACTTTCAGAAATGCTTTTTTTTTTAAAATAATTTTATCAGGAAAAGTAACCAAGACTTCTTGAAAGACATCCCAAAAATCCCGTTTGGACATGGGCAGCCTTTGGTTTCATTCTCCAGATAGATAGATAGATAGATAGATAGATAGATAGATAGATAGATAGA